GAGAGAGAGAGAGAGAGAGAGAGAGAGAGAGAGAGAGAGAAAGAAAGAGAGAGAGAGAAAGAGAGGTGGGCGCCCCATGAATACAGTTAGTATCACGCCGTACAACTCAGGGGACAAGCCTGGTGGGTGGTTGGCGGGTGCTCTGGTGTGGTTTGCTTCTTCTTTCCTATCAAACATTTTCGTCTTTATCTCCCCTCCTTCTTGTTACCCACTTGTAACATCTCTAATCTTCGGCACTTATATGAACTTTTTGTGTTGCAAGTGCCGTAAAACACCATTAAAACTGAAACAAGGACAAGCCAGGCCGGGTGTCCCTGAACTCGGGTCCTAGCGTGTGCACTTTTCAGGGCTCTCAGCCTGTTTTGGCTCGGTCGTATCGGAGACGGACGTTAAATCCGGAGATCCCGCCTCTTAAATGATGGCTTTTAAGCACAAGGGGGCTATCCCGAAAAAAGCTGTGTTGAGAAAATCGAAGGTGAAGTTTTTGGACTCTTGTTATGTTTCTTTAAAAGGCAAGGAGAGTTTTCTCTATAACCAAACAAATATACACACCAATGAAACCAAACTCATCCTATAGGTAGGGTAATGCCCACTTTTGGTGTAGGTAAAGATTTCAGGAAACCCCCTGAAATCTTGGTTAGCCGGCTTGTCCTTAATAACGACCAAATAACCTGTTGGTTAAACCCATGCACTTAGGATAGGCACTTTACACAAGTCCCCATTTGTCTCGATCCTTTCGCGGATGGACGTTGCACTCGGATGCCAGGCTTCTTACACAGCCTAACAGTGTTGTAAAGTAAAGTTGTTCCCGCATCCGATCCGGACATACGGGATTGTCTTGTTAATGAGACAACTTCCTGGGCCTTCGGCATTTATTGTGGTTGGGTGGCCAGTTCCTTTCCCCGCCGCCTTTACTTTCCCAATTCGAAATCCGTGTCCGAACCGAGGCTCGAATCCGACCGGACTTCCCGCTTCGGAGACGAGCGCAAATAGTGTTGATAGGGGCGTTACACATAACGCAACCTCAGTGCTTTCTTATCGTATCTCCATTTTTAATAACTGTGAAAACCGTTCATTACGAAAATGAGCTTTTGAATAAGTCACATTTTCACAGTTAAAAAATGGAGATACGACAAGAAAGCACTGAGGTCGTGATAATAATGCCATGTTACCCTTGGTGAGGCAGCGTGGTGGAATCAGGCTCTCGTCAATTTGTGGGAAAGTAGAGTTAATGGTGTCATCTTAAAGCTTGTTCACTTGTCTTCATTTGGATGAAAAAATACCCATTTATCTTGAATACAAGTCGAGATATTTGCGAATGAAGGTCGTGGGGGTCACCTGTTTTCAGATGTAAAATTAGTGGGAAAATATGGCCACAAAAGATTAGCTAATTCCTTAGTTTAAGAGTCCGGGGTAACTGAAAATCTACATTTTTTGGCATTTAATCAACGCTTTTCAGCAAAATCCATACAGAAATGAGTTCTTTAATAGGCATGAAAGGTGTTGAGTCAAAAAACCAAAAATCTGATAAAACTTCACAAACCTGCGTAAAAATGCAAGTTTCTTCTTTTTGATTAATTTGAAGAGAGCCTGATTCCACCACGCTGCCTCACATATTATTTTTTTTGTCCCCACAGGTTGCGTTGGGCGATGTGGTAACCAGCCTGACAGCAAGTACGACTGTGAGTGCAACTCTCACTGCACCAGGTTCAACGACTGCTGTGATGACTACAAAAGTCACTGTTTGCCCGGTCAGTCTTTGTTCTAGTAGAGGTTTTACGGCGCTCGCAACTACATAATAAGGTCATATGAGCGCCATCCGGTCAGTCTGTGTGGTGTCCAGAGTAGTGTTTTGTATACACACACATACACACATATACACGCATACACACATACACACACATACACACACACACACACACACACACACACACACACACATACACACATACACACATACACACATACACATACATACCCACATATATGCATACACACACATACATACACACACACACACACACACACACACATACATACACACACATACATACAAGCCCACACACATACACACACACACACACACACACACACACACACACACACACATACATACATACACACACATACATACACACACACATACATACACACGAATACACGCACACACACTTACACACACATACACACACATACACACCCACAAACATACACACATACACATATACACACACACAAATACACTCAAATACACCCACATACACACACAAATACACACTCGCATGCTCACATATACACCCACATACACACACAAATACACACACATACACACACATACACACACATACACACACATTCACACACAAATACACGCACATACACACATATACACACATACACACTCAAATACACACACATACACACATATACACACACATACACACACACAAATTCACACACACACACACACACACACACACACACGTACACACACACATTCACACACATACACACTCACACGTACACACACACATTCACACTCAAATACACTCACACATACACACACAAATACACACACTCACACACACACACACACACTCACACACATACACACACACACAAACACACTCACACATATGACTGGGAGTTGTTTGCTAGTTTGTTTGCTTGTTTGTTTTTTGTTGGGGGGGGGTTTCGGGGGGGGGGCATTATGACCTCTGACTTTTTACATCTCAGACCTCACCTAACCCTTTTCATGACCCCCACACAGGTCAAACTACAAAATATACACTGTGCTTCTCTCCTCCGAAGCTATTTTGAACTTATGAGTCCTGGTTTGACGTAAGCCCCTTCAACCTTCACCTGATGAGACCTTTGACCCTTTAAACATCTGACCTGATCTGACCTCTAACCCTTTGACCTGACCTCTGACTCTTCAACCCTCTAACCGTATAGCGTGGTTGGCGGATGCTCTTGTGTGGTATGCTCCTACTTTCCTATAATAAAAAAACTATCGTCTTCATATCTCCTCCTTCTTTTTTTTTATGTTTGTTACTCTCTAGTAACACCTCTTATCTTCGGCCCCTATGTATCCTAATTGTGATGAGAGTGCCGTAAAACGCTTACTAGAACTAAAACATAACCCTATACCCTGACTTCTCATTCTTAACCCACTGACGCTAGCTCCCGTGGATGGTGAGTGCTCTGATGCGGTTTGCTCTTTCTTTGCTGCCGAACGGCTATCGTCCTTATCTCTCTTTTTCATTTCTTATTTATTATTTTAAACTTTTTTTATGTAACCTATGGTGACACTTCTTTCTCATGTAGAGTATTTTATGTTCAGTTTGTGTTGCAACAACTATAAAACGCTTACAATGAATAAATAAATAAATAAATAAATAAGTTAGTGAATAAATAAATAAATAAGTTAGTGAATAAATAGATAAATAAATAACTCCCTGACATGGCCTGACCTTTAACCCTGTGGCCTCACTTGACCTTCCCTCTCACCCTCTGGCCTTCTGACATTCTGACCCCCCGACCCTCTCTAACTCTCTGACCCTACTCTGACCCTCTGACCCTCTGACCCACTGACCCTCTGACCTCTGACCCTCAGGCTGTGCCGGACGATGTGGTCAGGCCCCGAGCAACAACCACCACTGCCAGTGCAACTCGCACTGTGTCAGGTTCGGGGACTGCTGCCAGGATTATCAGACGCTCTGTACATCTCACGGTTGGTCATATTATTTTCATCTTTTTTAAGGACAAGCGGGTTAACCCAGATTTCGGTGCTTTCCAGAAATCTTGACCTACACCAAAAGTGGGCATTGTCCTTCCTACAGTAGAAGTTTGGTTTCATGGGTGTGTATATTTGTTTGGTTATAGAGAAAACTCTCCTTGTCTTCTAAAGAAACTGAACAAGGGGCAAAAACGTTATACCTTTGATTTTCTCAAAACAGCATTTTTTGGGGATAGCCCCCTTGTGCTTAAAAGCGACCATTTGTCCGTTTGGGCGTGTTGTCTATCTGTGTATAAAGTTTCGTTGTTTGTACGTGCGGTCATTTGGTCTGTTTGTACATCTGACGATTAGTAAATGTGAGGCAGCGTGATGGAATCAGGCTCTCGTCAAAACAATCAAAGTGAAGAAACTTGCATTTTTCCGCAGGTTTGTGAATTTTTATCAAAATTAAAATTGTGTTTTTTGGCTCAACACCTTTCATGCCCATTAAAGAACTCATTTCTGTGTGGATTTTTCGTTAAAACGTTGATGAAAGGCCAAAAAAAAATGTAAATTTTCAATTACGACGGAATCTTAAGCTAAGGAAATAACTTATCTTTGGCGGCCATTTTCTCACTAATTTTACCTCTGAAAACAGGTGACCCCCACCTCCTTCATTCACAAATATCTCGACTTGTATTCAAGATAAATGGACATTTTTTTCAACCAAATAAAGACAAGTGAACAAGCTTTAAGATGATGCCAATAACTCTACATGCTCAAAAATTGACGAGAGCCTGATTCCACCACGCTGCCTCACATATTATCATTTGTTCGTTTGTACGTTTTGTCTGCCGCGCGGTGTATAAAGTTGGTTTGTTTGTATGTGTGGTCATTTTGTCTGTCTGTGTATTTATTTGGTTTGTTTGTCTGCTTGGTCATTTTATCTGTTTGTATCTGGTGGTAAGTATTTATCTGTTTTGTCCTTCTGTTTGTCTGAGTATTTGGTAGATTTAGCTTGTTTTGTTTGATCATTTCGTTTGTTTGTTTATGAGGTTGTTTTGTATGTTTCTCTCTACTGTATTGTTTTGTTTTTTGTTTTGTTTTTATGTCAGTGAAGATTCCCATTCAATCGTGACAGTGGGTGATTGGTGGGTGCTCTTGTGTAGTTTGCATCTTCTTTCTATCAAACACCTATCGTCTTTATCTCTCCCCCTTTTTCTCTGTATGTTACTCTCTAGAAACAACTCTTAATCTTCGGTGCTTATATAAAATATGTTTGTTGCAAGGGGTTGGAAACAATTACTGACATGAAAAGCTTGCGATTTTCCAATAGCGCAGAGGGGGTGGTTGGCGGGCGCCATCGGTATGTCCAATTTCTTTACTTTCCCCTCTGGTTTTTCTGCCTGTCTTTGATCTTACTATGTTGGTGGTTGTCGGGTGCTTTGGTGTGGTTTTCTCCTACTTTCCTATCAAACTACTGTTGTCTTTTTTCTCTCCTCCTTCCTTTTTATATTGTTACTCACTTGTAACACATCTATTCTTTGACAGTTATATGACCGTATTGTGTTGCAAGTGCCGTAAAACTCTTACTAAAACTGACTGATCTCACTTTTTCCCAGCACTAACTATTGTAGTGTGGATGTGCTTCTCTTTACTCAAACAAACCGATAACGCAGTGTACTGTTTTCTTCTTGTCTATATGTGGATGGTTGGCGGGTGCTCTGGTGTGGTTTACTTCTTCTTTCCTATCAAACATCTATCGTCCTTAACTCCCTTTCTTTTTTTTCTTTTTTTTTTTGGTCATGTTTGTTACTCTCTTGTGACACCTCTCATCTTCTGGCGCCCATATGAACTTATACAGTTACGAACGCCGTAAACTCTTACTAAAACTAAAAACGTCTTTACTTTCCCTCTGTTGTTTCTGTCGGGCTGTCTGTCTTACTTTTTCCCAGCACTAGCTGACATATATTGTGTGGATGTGCTTCTCTTTACTCAAACCGATAGCGCTGTGTACTGATTTCTTCTAAAGGGGGGACATTGACCTGTTCTTCTGCACAGTAGAATTGTAATTGTAAATGGCTGATTCATCGATGTCATGCTCATAACTGTGCCTACTAAAGTGCAACAGGGAACTGCTACTTTTTTCTTTCCTAATCCTTACTGTGGGCATTTCCTCTACTTCTTTTGTATGTTTGTCACACTCTTGTGACCCTCTATTTTCGGGATGCCTTGATAGTCGAAGCAGACTTTGTGCTGTTGAAGCTAAAGAGGTGACCAGAGTAAGTCTCATTCCCAGTTGGGACTTCACTGTTGATATCCACCCCCTCGGCGCTCATATGACCTTATTATGCAGTTGCAAGCGCCGTAAAACCTCTACTAAAACTAAAACTAAACTGGTTTCTTCTTGTCTATATCCCTATATCCCTTCTTCATGATCAGGCAGTAGCACAGGGGGCAGTACAGGCAGCAGTACAGGTGGTAGTACCGGCAGTGGCAGCGGCAGTCACAGCAACGACATGTTTTGCAACAGCATCAAGCCTGCCAGCAGCTCCGGCACTCCGCCCAGTACGAGTGGAAGCGGATGTAGAAGCATGACCCTCAAACAGGTACGTCGTCTTCTTCTTCGTCTTCTTCTTCTTCTTCTTCTTCTTCTTCTTCTTCTTCTTCTTCTTCTTCTTCCTCTTCTTCTTCTTCTTCTTCTTCTTCTTCTTCTTCTTCTTCTTCTTCTTCTTCTTCTTCTTCTTCTTCTCTTCTTCTTCTGCCTCAACTAAATAATAGGTCATCTAGGCCGATGACTAGAGGTGTTACGAATGAATAACATAAACAAAAAGAGGAGAAAGGATCCTAGGTGTCTGACAGTTGAAAAGGCAAATCACGCCAAAGCACCAGCTAACTACCTTCGTACGCACGCAGCGGTTGTCAGTCAGTGAGTCAATCAACCAATCTATCTATTTATCTATCTATCTATCTATCTATATATCTATCTCTCTATCTATCTATCTATCTATCTATCTATCTATCTATCTATCTATCTATTTATCTATCTATCTATCCGTCTATCTATCTATCTGTCTGTCTGTCTGTCTGTCTGTCTGTCTGTCTGTCTGTCTGTCGGTCGGTCGGTCGGTCGGTCGGTCGGTCGGTCGGTCGGTCGGTCGGTCGGTCGGTCGGTCGGTCGGTCGGTCGGTCGGTCGGTCGGTCAGTCGGTCAGTCGGTCAGTCGGTCAGTCGGTCAGTCAGTCAGTCAGTCAGTCAGTCACTCAGTCAGTCAGTCAATCAGTCAAACAATCAATCAGTCAATCAACAAACCAATCTATCAATCAGGCAGTCAATCAATTAATTAATCAATCAACCAATTAATATCTAAATCAATCAGTCAATCAATCAATCAGACAATCATTCCTTCCACCAGGTGACGGAGGAGCTGTGGAGAAATGACGTGAACCGCCTGGGCTGCAAGGACCTGACCGTCAACTACCAGGCCAAGATTGGGGACGGCTCCAAGAACAACGCTGCCAGATACAAGTGGGTTGTTGTTGCTGTTTTCAAATGTGAAGTGTGCTGACAAAATGAGTTACTTCTCAGATTCGAGCCTTAAATAGATACTTCACGCTTATAGTACGGGTGAAGTTTTTATAATTTATATGTATGAAATAACAAAAGGGATGTTAATACTTAAAGAATATGGCATCAATATAAAATCTACAAATTTGACCCTAGTGTCTATTTTTGGCCAATGTCTTCATTTGTGGATTGCGAGAAGTAACTCATTTTGTCAGCACACCTCACAAATATACAAGTGGGAAAACACAGTGTTTGTTTAGTTTTAGTAGAGGTTTTACGGCGCTCGCAACTGCATAATGCCATATGAGCACCAGAAAATTAGAGGTGTTACAAACATAAAAGAGAAGACGGGAGATAAGGACGATAGATGTTTCATAGGAAAGAAGGAGCAGACAACACCAGAGCACCCGCCAACAACCCACAAACACTGTGTGTGTGGGGGGGGACTTTGAAACCAGTGCACATCGCTAGTCGACTTCAGTCGAAGTCATTCGAATTGAGTCGGGTGAGCGAGAGTATTTTCTGCATGGAGATGCAAAATGTGGCAATTGACTCGATTTGAAGCCGTTATGGAAGGAAGTGGCTGTGTTATGTCCGGTAGGTTTTGAGTGCAATAAGATAATAAGAGCCATATCAAAATAATAACAGCATCTGTCACTAACCGGATGATCCCCAACGCTCACCAAACTTATACTGGATGCCCATTGCGGATGGGATGGGATCAGATCGGGTCGGGACGATCTCTCGACTTGTCGCCTGAAAATAAACGAGTTTGTTTTTTTGAGGCGACGAGTCGGTTGCAATCGGTTTGTACCACGAAAACCGCTTTGCACACTCAATCTGGCCAGCAAACCGACCCGACCCGACCTGATCGGGCTAATGGGCACCCGGTATTACCAAAACGCCAAGTAGTAACGCCAAGAGATACCGACCTGGTTGGATGTAAAGAGTGTCGATAGAAGTGGCGTAAAATGTCTACAATTTCTAATATATCTTGATGACTGTCTTCGATAAATTCGGCCGCACAATATTTCTCCACCAGTCAATTCGGACGGTTGGAGGCCGCCACTGATAAGTCTTGCTTATTTACCTTCCATTTCCTTCTGTTGTTTCTATCTGTTTGTCTTACTTTTCCCCAGCATTAAATGGCCATTGTTATTGTGTCGATGTTCTTCTCTTTACTCAAACAAACGACAAATCACCGACTCACACTCTCTTTACTCAAACAAAGAAACTACCAATCAACACTTCGTGCTCTCTCCTTCAACCCCCCCCCCCCCCAAAGCACCCACACCCTCTTTATTCACAAACGTGACCCTCAGCACTATCTGCTCTCCCCCAAGTTATTCACAAATGTGACTCTCAGCACTCTCTGCTCTCCCCCAGGTTATTCACAAACGCGACCCACAGCAAGATGAACGGCGAGACATTCAAAACTTTCAAGGCTCTACTCAACAACTACGTACCAGCCAAGGGGGCCCAGGAACATGTGACGTCACACGAACTGCAGGAAGAGGAAGCCTTCCTGGACGCCATCTTTAGAACATCCGTTATGAAGACTCTTCAGAACTACTTGATCTGCTCAGGTGAGTCGGGGGTGGCTGGAAGGTGGCATTATAGTGCTGTCAAATATTCATGGCACAACTTATTGTCAAATATCTCCTCAACTAATGAGCTTAAACTCCCCAGCTTTTGCACAGTGACTTGTATCAATTTGTCTTTACAGATCAATATTTTCGTAAACATCTGTTATCTCTATTCTAGAAAATTTCTTAATAATTACCAATTTAAAATCCCAGTGGGTGGTTTCTACAGATTTTAAAAGGTTTACAGCTGGGACAATATCACTTTTAAAAGCAAGTCCGTCATTTTTCTTCTAATTGCGAGATTGTTTATTGAACGCATGTTTTGCAGAACTTTTAAAACAAAAAAGTGTTCACTATAAACTATAAAATAAATTTCTTGTTTCTAGTTTCGCCACTAAAAAAGTGTCACTGATGAGCTGTGACATAGATCATAATATGCACGGAAAAATAATTATGTGTGAGAAACGGGAAATGCTGTGAACCATTCCATTTTCCGCGTGAAGGAGATTTGAAGTATTTTACATAAAGTTATGAAGAAAAGTTTTTTTAATCTAGTCTCAATTGTTGTTGAAAAATATGATTAGGTTAAGACTAACTGATACGAATTGCTGTGCAACGTATGAGTGACACTGGTTCACCCATTAAAAAGATATTTGAGGATAAGTTACGCCACGAATTTTTGACAGCACAATAGTAGGTCCAACTTCACTTTCGCTCGCTCATTAGACCTTATGCAATTGCAAGACGCCGTAAAACACTTACCAAAAAACCTACTTTACTTCTATTCTTTCCTCTGATGTTTCCTCCGGATAGTCTCGCCTTTCCCTTGCATTACATGACCGGTATTGTTCCAATGTGATTCTCTTTACTAAAATAACAGATGGGTAGTTGGTCGGTGCTCTGGGTTGATTAACTTTCTTTCTAGCAAACGTCCTTATCTCTCATTCTTCTGTTCTTTGCAGGCTACACCTTTAGAAACACCTCAAATCTCTGGCACTTATATTACCCATTTGTGTAGCAAGTGCCGTAAAACTCTTACTAGAACATTTTTGAAAAATTAAAACTACATCGAAGATAAGATGGCAACAACAATGGCAGCTGAAGCTGTAGTAAGAACAGCAGTAATAGCAATATCAACTGAAACACCAACAAAAACAATGACAACGAGTTAGGATAGGTTGTGCAGTTATTGGCAGAAGAAATTCGGAGACGTCTCCGGCGAGCACCCAGGAATTATTCGGAGACGTACACCCGCACACAGGTGCACTGCTTTGGGGGGTCATACTGCGTTTTGTTTACTGCAGATCACACATAAAGCCACTAAAACTGTCGCAAATCTAGATCTATTATTTTCAAGAAAATTTCAAACCTAACTTTGAAATATCAAATTAAGGGTTAAAACAGGGGGAACCCCTCAATTTTTTTTTTACTTGATCTAGAGGCACAAAGCATTTTGATTGGTCTATCTCCGTATCCGAATAGATACTACGGCAGTTGTTAGACGAAGGCCTCCTCAATCCAGTCTCGATAAGGGGAAATAATCCATGAAATCCTAAAGAGTTGTCAACATAGCAGGAGTTAAGGGGAGGGATGTTAGACATTTTCTTCTGGAGACTGGTCTGGAGCAGACATTGACGATCATCGTACCCCACTCCTTCCTGTTGTCTGTCTTCTTGATCAGCTCGGGTTTTTCTCTTTTTCTTATTCGTAGCAAAGTCGTTAATTAGGCCATCTGAGTATGTTGTTCTTTGTCTTCTTCTGCTCTTCTTTCCCTCTATCTTTCCAAACAGCAGCAGTTTCTTTAGTCCGTTTGATCCATTTATGTGGTCAGAGGATCTCACTTGTCTTTTCTGATGGTTCTGATGACAGCTCTTTCACGACCTGCCATTTGAGTCTATCTCTACTTGATTTCCTGCCTGTGTTAGACATCAGGAATGGGAATAAATTTTGGTAAGTCTTTTACGGTATTCGCAACTGCTAAGGTAATATGAGCGCGCGGGACACACAAAGCATTTTCAGCTGGTAGAAAGTTTTGAATTTTGCCCGGGTGGCGGCCGAAGCCTACTCTTATCGATTTTGACCGCCAATGGATCTTTAACGTGCGCAACATGCACACGGGACCTCCAAGATTTTACGCCCTCGTCCGAGAAGCCAAGGTGTAAATCTTACGTACCATAAGGTCAGGGGTGTGGCTGAAAGACAGTAGTAAGAAGGAGCCAAGGAAAAGCAGGAGAAAGGCTGAAAAAAAGAGTCAGGAGTCTTGGGGAGGGGTCAAAGGAGGTGAAGGGGTTGGGGCAGAAAGTGGAGACGAAAGCAAACGACAGAACATTGTTAGAGAGCAGGAAAGGAGGTGAAAGGAGAAAATGGATATTTTTTCATTGAAACCAAGGCAAATGAACAATCTTGCAGATGATATCAAAAACTCCAAATGCCACCCCAAAAAATGACGAGCGCCTCATTCCACAGCGCCGCGACACATATGACCGTATTGTGACGTGAAACTCTTACTAAAACTTAACCCTACCTTCCCCCCCCCCAACCCATAGCCGCCT